GAACGGTTACAGACAGAACACTGCCACTTCACAAGCACTGATGATGTCACCTCGGCTGGTGATGAAACGTTTGCAAACAGATTGCCAAGCTCGGCGAACAGGCGAAATGGAGTTGCAGGATAGTGCCCAGTCAGTGATTGCATAAACAGAATCTTGGGGACCTATCAACCGAGTCGATGTTTGGTGCATCTGAAACTCCCACACTAGCACAGCCATCATATATGGTTGCAACGTTTTCATTCATAAAAGAATTTTATTGACTAAATTGGTTTTGAGAACGTTCTTTGACATTCGTACCTTGGTCTGTTCTTAATTATACCCAAATCAAATTGCAATGAAAAGGGTAAACCGCATACCGAAACTCATATTCAAAGGGGTTTGGGTCGGGGGTGATATTCATGCACGAAACTGGTTATGGATCTTGTTTTTGAAGGAAGGACCGAAGATAAGAGAGAAGTAGGAGAAAAGTAGAGGTCAACCTCTCCCACAGTTTATCGATCCGCAGGAAAAGCGAAGGCTGGAATATGAAAGTGCGACAGTTCGAGGTAAAAATTGAAAACGTAATGACAGCCACTCGGATACGGGATGGGTGAGTAAAGTTTGTGATGGTGATTAACCGAGGTAATTTCTAAGAAATAGAAACGAAAGTATCCACGGCATACAAGAAACATAGAATCGACCATCTGACGATATGCTGATTACTGCACAATGAAGGTTAGGAAAGGATCAGCGATTATTCTCCCGGTTTCTTCTTGTACCAGAAGAACTATGCAATGTTGTACTGTGAGCGACTGAAGGAATAAAGGTATTCCTTAAATGAATTAGTTAGGAATGAAAATTTGAACTCCGGTCAAACAGGAGTGCATATTCGCCAATTCAAGGTAAACTCCATCGTATGCATTCATTCAGATCAAACTATTCATGCTCAGGCCATCTCGCTGACCACGGCTGGAGTAAATCTGTGGGTATTGTTGTTTAGTTACAAATCCCATGCAGATGTCTCACATAAAGCATTACAATTACACTGAAATGAACTGGTTCAGCTATTGGAATCTCGCCCATCGAAACATCTGAACCACTGCGATTAATTGACCAAAATGACTTCAATGGCGATTATTCAGTCCTCTCACAACCACGTTGTAGCTTTTTTCTGCAGTAAGGTGGCTCCTATGGGAGCGAATCCATTCCGATGATTGTGGTCC